TACTAAATACATAGAAACCTGAGCTGACATTGGCTGAACACTGGGAAGGTGGTAGAAGGAAATACCACCTGTTTCCTAGGACATGCTCTCTCCTAGGGAGGTTTCTTGCTGTAGCTTTGGTGTGTAACCAAATTAGAGAGAACCTTTCATAGTGGTTTGAATAAAATCATTCTTTCATTCTTTCTCTACTTGACATTTAGCTGTTCCACAGCTTAAGCTGCAAACACCTGGTCACGTGAATGGGAATTTGGTTAAAATTTGTAAAAAAGTAAACGCCTATAGAGGTTTTGTCAGCCTTTAAGCCCTTGCTGTCAGGTTAGTCCTGTTGGGAGCTGTCAGTGGTGGAGTGAATGTGAAATGAATAGTTGCAACATGTGTGGTTCTAGCTAACCTCTGAATTTACTTAGGTACTGCATGTTATTCATTATTTTAAACTTTTCACCAGTAAAAGGTGGAAAACAAAGAAAACATACTGCTAGATCATGATACAGTCATTTACTGTTACATAACATACTGTTACATAAATCTAAAATTTGCTCCTGTTTTCAGAATGGTTCCAACTCACTCTTCTACAATATTTGTTTCTATGCATGGGGTGAAAAAATGGGAAAAGTCTAATTTACAGAGCAGAACACTAGAGTGAAATAAATGAAGTTGAAATAGTTACAATTTCCATGAGCTGTTCTGTTTAAATTAATTGGGGAGAGATAGAGCCAGTAAACCAGCTGTTCCCTCTTTGTGAAAAGGACATTGCTCATTAATTAGAATATGAACAGAAGTTTATTTAAAAATCCCTCCATGTTGGCTAAATCCAAGGAAATTCATCTTGTACATTTGAATAGATTATTTTATAACTTTGCTAAATATTTGCATTGTTTTTCCACTTTTTTTTTTTTGCTTGGGCCAAAACTCCTTTTTCGAGGTTAAATTGATCAATGTATTTTGCCTTGTGTAAAGTGTAAACTTCAGTTGAATGATAATGTTAGTATTCTGAATTTTACACTGTCAGACTTCAAAGCAGTGTGTCATGTTATTTATTATAATAATCACCATCTATAAAGCAACTGCAGCAGATCTGCAGTGGCAAAGCCTCAGGTAATAGTTAAATCTGGTGCAAACCAGCGTGTGCATTATGAGCAAGCTTAATGTTGAGCAAAGTGCCACTTCACAGCCTCACATTTGAAGTTCTTGTATTTAAAGACTTTGAAAGGACAAGGTTAAGTTAAATTGTTGAATTTGCCATCTGAACTATATTGCAGTGCTCTAAAAGGAGTTTTTTATATCAAACAAGTTTTCATGTGTGTGTAAGAAAGCCGATCAGGTGGATAGCATTTCAGAAAATCTAGAGGACTGAGAAGGTGGAGAGGATGAAGAGGATTAGAGAATGTTGATTAGTCCTTTTTATGCATATTTTTCAGGTGAAACAGGAAATCTTAGCATAGAGGAGAGTAAGGGCTTTGCACAAAATATTTCTTCCCATGCTTTTCTCCTTTTCTGATCCTTTTCTGTCAGGAAAGAGGTGAAAGAATGAATCAGAGATTTATTGGTCCAAGCCAGCAGATAAACAATAAACAAGCTGTGCCTGAATGCCCACTGTACTAACAGCTCATTCACCATGCTAGGTATAGATAATGGCCAATATACCCTGACTCATGTGTTTAATTGAAATTTCTGCTCCCTGTTCTTCTTACACATTATGGAACTCCTTCAGATCAACTGAAAAAAACCCCGACTAAATCACCAGATAAATTCTTTTACTGGCACAGGTATTTCTGCATTATATGTGGGCAACATTGCTTGAGAACTGCACTGAAGTGAAACTAATGGTGCCAGTAGCATTCAAGTGAATCAGTCCTGAAATCAATATAGTATAGGTCAGGTTCACTGCACCAATGTGCTAAGTGGCTTCACTATTGCACTTCTCAACCCGTGGGGGTAGTACTCTGAAAGTGGTCTGAGAAAAACAGATGGAAAATTTCTTTCTGCTATAATGACTGATCATTGTTTCTTGAACGTTGCCCCCAAATAATTCTCTGTGGTGCGGATGAATCTGAGGTCATATTTGGATACTGTCATAATCTGAGAAATAAAATGTCTCTCTAAGACTGAAGAAAAGCCCCTGTTTCAGAACCGAGGAAAGAAAGGCTAGAAATAATAATCCAAAGAAAGGTAAAAGTGAATTACAAAAAGATAGATGTAATTTGCAAAATGTCTGTACAGAAATTGCATGAGCAGAGAATGCATAAGAGAAGTTCCAGATCTCCCCTTTGGGGGAATTTGGGCTAGGCTCTTTGTATTTGATTTTGCCTGCTTGATGAACCACAATAAAAGCAGCTCTGGTCTGATTTTGTGAAATACTTGTGCAGGTATCTTTCATTGTTGAAGAGCAGATTCATTGCTTATGTCTTGAACCTGAAAAAAGCTTGGGTTTTAAAAACTTCCATATTCAAATTTGTGGTTTTGAACCTTTAATCTACTAGCTCACCTTCAAACCTCTGCATCTTACATCTTCAGATCATCACACCTATGACATAAAAAGCTTTTACTACCATCCCCATTCAGAATTCTTAGAAAGGGTGACAGGCCCTGTGTTCAGTGTGCTATCAGTATAGTTTGACACTCTTTACTGCCTTAAATTGGACTTCAGATACTAGTTACCTAAATATGAAGAAAGATATTGAGGTGCTGGAGTGTGTGCAAAGAGGGATCGAGAGCACAAGTCTTATGAGGAGTGGCTGAGGAAGCTGGAGTTGTTCAGTTTGGAGAACAGGAGGCTCAGGGGGAATGTTACTGCTTTCCACAACTACGTGAAAGGAGGTTGTAGCCATGTGGGGGTCGGCCTCTTCTCCCAAGTACCAATTGACAGGACAAGATGAATCGTCCTCAAGTTACACCAGGGGATGTTTAGGGTGGGTATTAGGAAAAATTTCTTCACTGAGGGGGTTGTCAAGCACTGGAAGGGGCTGCCCAGGGAAGAGGGGGGAGTCACCATCCCTGGAGATCCTTAAGAGATGTGTAGATATGGCACTTAGGGACTTGGTTTAGTGGTGGACTGGGCAGTGCATTGGACTCCATGATCTTAAAGGATCATCAGCTGAAGCTTAATATACTCAAATAATGTTCCCAGGTATATGATGATGCACTCCTTTGTAATAGTAGATGGTCTGAGAAAGACTGTTGGTTTTTATTTTGGGACTTAAAAAAGCAAAGAAAGAGGAAGAATCTTGTTAGAACGCTTTAGGTTTTGCAGACAGAGTTCTCAGAAGCGCTAAATATATAAAAAGCTGGCAGCGAGGGGTGTGGGTGTAAGACAAATGTTTCACATAGAAACAAGTGAGCTGGTATCCAGTATTTATGCTGCTGATATCATGCACTAACACATGGTTCTGTTTATCAGTATCAATAGAGGGTGTAGCTATTGGATATAACACTGAGTATTATAAATTTCATATCCAAATAATCCAAATATCATTCATTTCTGAGACCCATTGTTTAAAAGATGCAGCATTCACAGACATCTGGTCCCATATATATATGTATATAGTTGTAATGTATCCTACTTGAAACCAACATGATTGTTGTGGACAATTTGTGTTTAAATGAGTGCTACTTCTCCAGAAGATGATGATAGTTTCTCAGTTTACCTTTTCAGATTTCAAGGTCTTCAGCACCTGGGGTTGCTGGTCAATAGCTGGCTGAACATGAGCCAGCAGCGTGCCCAGGTGGCCAAGAAGGCCAGTGGCATTCTGACCCGTGTCAGGAGTAGTGTGGCCAGCAGGGCTGTGATTATCTCTCTGTGCTGGGCACTGGCGAGGCCACACATTAATTGCTGTGTCCAGTTCTGGGCCCCTCATTTCAACACAGACATTGAGGTGCTGGAGTGAGTCCAGAAAAGGGCAACAAAGCTGGTGAGGGGTCTAGAGATTAAGTCATATGAGGAGCAGCTGAGGGAGCTGGGGGTGTTTGGTCAGAAGAGGAGGTTCAGAAGAGTCCTTATCACTCTCTACAACTGCTTGAAAGGAGGTCGTAGCAAGATGGGGGTCAGCCTCTTCTCCCAGGCAACTAGTGACAGAACAAGAGGAAATGGCCTCAAGCTGCACCAGGAGGGGTTCGGTTGGGTATCAGGAAGAACTTTTTCACTGAGAGGGTGGTTAAGCTTTGGAGAGGGCTGCCCAGGGAGGTGCTGGAGTCACCATCCCTGCAAGTGTTCAAGCAGCAACTGGACATGGCATTTAGTTTAGCTGTCATGGTGGTGGTTGGTCAAAGGTCCAATGATCTTGGAGGTTCTTTGCAGTGTAATGATTTTATGATTCCATAGTCTGACACCAGTTGATATAGTCTCTGCCTGTTCTGAATCATGCAAAGCACAGAATACAAAAATAGCTTGCATTAGCAGCAACATGTAAATCAGGGTTTTCCATATCAAGGTCAGACAATCCCTCGTGTTTGGAAGCATGGTGGGAAGCAACTAGGCAAGATTTAAACATTGCTAACATGGCATTGAAAGAGCACTTGGGCTAGAATATCCATGAAAACATTCCAATCAATACCATTTCTTTTTTAATTTTTTAGATTTATTTCTCTCTTGGAGAAAATACAAGTATGTTTGTTCTATAAAATTTGCCAAGGTATAAAACAGAGAGAAAATTGCTTTCATTTACTTGCCTTTAATTTTCTTTTTTAATTCCCCTTGAAAATAAGAATCAGCAGAAGTTCATATCAATACACATCACACAATAATTTTAAGGCTTTTTCACAGCTGAAAGAAATAACTAGAATATGGGTTTTGTGAAGCTGTTTTGTTTTGTTCTAATTAACTGGAAATCCTGAGCAACTGATGCATATTGACTTTTTATTCTTACAACTTTTTTACATATTCATCCTACAGCTATGTGGACATTTCTGTGGTTTAGGAAATGCTGTGTTATATGCAGTTCATGATGAGGCTCTTCAGCTTTTTAGATGCCATATTCAGTGTACTTTTATTATATTTTCTCTAGAGTGATGCCATGGCATCGTCAGGACTCTTCTTCAAAGATGGCAAAAAGCGCATTGATTACATCCTGGTCTACAAGAAATCAAGTCCACAGGTAGAAAAAAGAAGCACATTTGAGAAGAATTTGAGAGCAGAAGGGCTGATGTTAGAACGGGAGGTGAGTCTTGTGGCTTATGTGGCATAAAAACTTTACTGGACTGATCAAAAAAAAGATTCCTGACAATCTCACAAGCCTTTCCAGTCAGGCTGTCCCCACCATCTGCTTAATTGTATTAAACTAATAAGAAAAATTGTTTGATAGCGTGTGTTTAAAATGATTTGGGGATATGTGGTTGAGCACAGAGGTGTGGTGCAGTACACAGGGAAAAATTCCAGCTACTAATGCTTGCAGAACAGAAGAAGCCTCAGTAACCTGTGTTATTGCTTTAATATGTAACCTTTATGTCTTTCAGCAGAATGCATGATGCTAAATATCTCACTGTTTTTCAGAGGATTAAGGTTGTCACTGCCTAGTTAATCCATGGCTAGTAATAGAAGTATTAATATAAAAAAAGGAGAACAGAGTCAGGAAAACAGCCTTGTATTTTTGCTGTTTCATGAATCACCTACAAAACAGGTGTGTATTTAGTTTGTCCTGAAGTAAGATCCTATGCTTCATGTGTATCTCATCCTGATTTATTCTTTCCAACTCAGTAGAATGTGCTACGTTTAAGCAATGAGCTTTCAAGTTATAGCTCACAATGTAGCATATAAATATTAATAAATAACCTACTTGACTAAAATTCGCTTTTAAGGCTTTTAAGAATTGTTACAATCTAGTAGTAAAAATATCTAGTTTTGTTCCAGTTTCAATAAATAGTAAAATCTCAGCTATTGTCAATTCAGAATTATTGACACTTAAGAAAAAAAATTATGAGATCATCATTCTACATATCAAAGGTTTTAAATTGTCTTCCACTAGTATTTTTTTATCCACATCTTTTGAGAAAAGTAAAATCCTCGAGGTGGTACTATTGAGCTGTGATATGACTTTATGGAACTGGTAGGTAGAATTGTGAACATTTTAAGTGTTATTAACCCTTTAACTACATTTTCTTTTCCTTTACTTACCAAAACTTGCGAACTCAAGTTTTTGGAGGCTTTGATCAGCCTCAACTCAAATATTGAAATATCTACTTATAAAATCTCAAGCAAATACATCTGGGAGAAGGGTGTGGACTGCAGTCTTCATAAGAGAAGACAAATATAGAAACCTGTAAGGCTGAAACCCTTGTTTTATGTACAAATAAATTAGTGATGAAAAACTAATTTAGAGTATACCTTGTAATTTTTACAAAAAAAAAAATCTCAATTCATACAGAGATCACATTTAAAAGTTCCTAGCAGATATTGCAATTATTTAACCATTCCCTGGAGATACCATTTTGGCAGAGTGCAACCTGGAGCCTCCTCTCAGCTGTTCTTACTTCTCTAGCAACTGAGCATTCTTGTCCTTAAATGGGAGACACAGAGAATGGTCTTCAAACTGCTCAAGCTGAGATGATTTTGTGGAGATTTAGAATTAAGTAATTTATTCCATGTAAAAAAGTGCTGCGTGAAGTCTTTATTTTACTTGTGTTCATGAGCAAAGGTCTTTCCAGCAGAGTCCTTTTGTCATCCTAGCCTGGGCATATTATGGAGTTTGTAAGGGGAAAAAAGTTACTAATTTTCCTTGGTCTAGCTGAGAGCACTTACTGTGCTTTCAGACTTGCATGCCAACTTCAGACCTAAAATCAGAATTTGGCCCTGAAGAATGCTTCTAGGAAGGTAGTTGCCATAAAGGTTTAAATTATTAATGTGCATTTGTTTGCTACTTCTCTTTACAGCCAGCTGTTACAAACAGTGATATCATGTTTGTTAAAGTTCACTGTCCGTGGGAGACGTTGTGCAAATACGCAGAAAGAATGAACATCAGGATGCCTTTCAGGTATTGTGGAAACTATTTTAAGAAACCTATAATTTAGTGCTTGATATTAAAAGTTCATTATTTACTTAAGGCTAAAATGCAGTCTTTACAGCTCTGTAGCCAGCCACGCTCAAATTTGATTTGCTCATATTTGATTTACTGATGTGATGAGGAAGAGAGGAGAAACAAATAGTCCTACTCTTGCCACGTTTTTGCACAGTACTCTGGGGTGCTTGTTTTCAAACTTACCTTCTAAGTCAAATTGAGCATATGTCTTTAGAAAACACTGTTAGTAGTTCACACATTGTTTTGGATGTCCTTGGCAGAGTTTCAGATATTCTCCCTCTGAGCTCAAGTAATTCTCCATGGTTTTAGGGTTTTTCTGAAGCCTTCCCCAAAGGCAAGCAAAATGACAGAAAAAGCTTCCATGTCTCCGATATAACACGTCACAATTTGAGTAAAATGAGGTCCAGTAGCTTTCCTTAGGCAGAATAATGAACTGAACTGAGTTCCTTGTCTGTGTGCTAAACAAGTTCTGTCATACGTTTTTGCAATAAATATTTGTTATTGGTTTCTAGGACCAGGTTAAAATCTCCTGCAATAATACAGACATTTTTAAAGGAGAAAATGTGCCTTTTCAAATTGATTAATAATTCTCTTAGAGAGAGAGAAGAGCACATAGTGTTCCGTAAACCTCCTAAGGAGTTAAAGTGGTAACTAGACTCCAAAGTTGTGTGACTCATGGAAAATACCCTCACAGCACTCCTTTCTCACTCAAACTGCCAACTGCTCAGTGTTTCATGCTGTGGCAGTGTGGCTCTCTTGCATTGGTCCTAAGCCAGAAACAGTCATTGTGAAGCATCCTTTGCTCAAAACCTGCTTCACATACCCACCTCTGTAATGAGTTTCCACATCATCCCATTAAGCCTTCAAAGGCTTTTCCATAACAAAAATGTTTTCTCTAACAGTCATCTTCCATATGGTTAAGAATATCATTATAGTGCTGTTTGAACTTCTCTAATTTGAATAATACTTGTCAATATTTTAAATATAGAAGTATTTACGTATGTGTGTATGCACACATAAATAATCTAAATTCCAATTAAAAAATAATTTGTTCATTTTCGATACATGAAATCACAACATTAAGTTGGGTTTTAGCAATGGTTTGAATTCTTCATAATTTTAGTTACTTCACAGATCAATAGTACTCTTCAGAAAAAAAAAAGGCTGACTTTTGCAATGCTACTTCATTTGCAAGGCATTCTAGGCCATATTTGTTTGTTATATTATTAACTGACGTGTAAATATATTCTCTTTACTATTTCCCTGAAGTGTCTGATCCATGTTTCTTTTTCCTGGGCTTTAGCTTCTTTTTATCCCATTCAGTTCAGTACACCAAAAGTAGATAAAATGCTGAACTTTGTATTTTCACCATGTTGGGAATTTTGCTGTAGAATGAAATACATTTATTTGGTAAGAAACTTTTCCACCTCTACCTCTGTAATAGAACTGTCAGAAAAAGTAAATTGGTCAACACTGCTTTTCTCTTTAAAAAGATTTTAATAGGAATTTAAATGAAATTGCAATCTAAAACAGGCCAGCAGCCTGTCTGAAGTGTCCCCTACAGGAGATGAGCAGTGTTCCATGATGCCTTCTCTCTTTACTTCTGTAAAGTCTGTGGTTTAGAGGCTTAGAGTTTGTGGTTTAGAGGCTTGCTGAGGAGGCAGAGTTCATGTTGTTCATGTCATTCATGTCTTCATCTTTATATTTGCTCCTGATGGCTTTTCATGGATGCAAAAGTAACAATCTAGACTCCCATAACAACATGATGTGAACACGCTTTTTATAATTTCGTTACGTGTTCTGTCAAAACCACTTTTGTTTTTTTTAAGTCTTGAGCTTGCTTGTTTAAAGCAAACCTTTCCTAACTGGATGGCCTATGTTGTTTTCCTGAGGTGGGCAGAGGAACCTCAAATCATACAATTCTCTCACACAGTTACAGTGAACTAGAGTAGCTTCCTCCCAGAAAGTTTTAGGTCATCCTTAGATAGATTTAAGTAGGCCTGAGAGGAGAAGGGTGTTGGACTTGATGATCTGTGTGAGTCCCTTCTTACTTGAGATATCCTGTGAGTGTAAAAAGCAGATTATTTCTCTTAGCCTTTATTTGTTTTATCAGTGGTTTCTGACTGTCCAGTTTTAATGTATAGTTGAAAAGGAAGGTAACCTTCCTTGCAGTACTTTAATGCTGTACACCCTTGTTCTCTTGCACAGTCATGCAAAATTTGGGCTTTTGGTTATGGTCACAAAAATACACCACGTATCGGTATCATACATCAATAACACATGAAGAATTAAATTCATACTTTTTAGGTTCATTTTGCTCAATCCAGGAATCCAAACAAAATCGACAGAATTATTGTGACATGGGTTATTTCTCTCTATTGCTGCAAAGTAAAAATACTTTTTTTCTGACCCAAGGGACTACCCAGCATCCCAGAAGTCTTTTAGCGTGGCATTATACTAAAATGTGTTGGCAGATTTATAGGATCCATCGTATATATAATATTGATGGTATCTCAGTGTTTCAATTGCAAAAGGAAATTTTTCTAACATTTCAAAAGACAGCCAGTGGTAATGACTGTTCTCTTGTATGTAAGGCTGACTTTTGCAGTGCTGCTTTATTTCAAAGTATATGTATATGGTTTCAAACAGGATTTTTGTAAGCTCCAAGGTGAGGTAATAACTGAATTATAACTTTTAAAAAAAATTATAGATATTTTTGTTAAGTATATGGTCTGTCAGTAGAAATGTATTTCCAGAACTCAGACGAAAGTTTAATTTTATTTGTGTCTACAAATAAATCATGAAACATTATTATTATGTGTAATGAGTAAATTATTTGTATCTGTAACTTAGCTGGACTCCATCTGTGTGAAACAGCTAAGGGTAAAGGGAATTAAGGAAGGGTTTTGTTAAAAAAGTCTGAAAATCCTTTAATCATTGCTTCATTTGCAATTCTGCCTAGTGGTACTAAGTGTCAGGCTGCCAGCAGCCTGCAGATTGGTGGATAAACAATTTTCCAGTGGCCACATATTTTCCAGGCAACATATCTTTCTCACTCTTTTTAATGTATTAATTTCAGTGTTTCTTCAAGGTAAGTAATGTCCTTTATTCAATCTCAAATACTGCCCAGATGGGCAGTTGCAGATCTTGTTAAATCCTGAGGAATCTGCAAGACTGAGGCCTTTGTGTGGTGGAAATGTGACATGAAATGATAGGAGGAGACCAGAAGAAAGCCTGAAAACCTGAAACTAGGTGTGCAAAATATTATAGTGCAGCAAATAAGTCTCTATTTGCTTTCAGAATAACTGTTCTCAGAAGGCTTGACTGGGAATTCCTGGTCCTGTTTCTCTGGGTGTCTATAGGCAGTGAAAGGTGGAGGGAAAAGAACTGTTAAGTGAGTTATTTATTAGCTGTCGTTGTTGTTATTAGCTACAAATCTAAAATGTAATTTTGACTCAGGAACGAATGTAAAACTTAAAAAAAAAGTGAAACTATCTCAATTACAATTTTTAAAGTGATTTCACCTTTCCGTCTATGAAAATGCATGTTTTAGAATGTCCAACATTCTTCTTTAATGTATATGTCCTTTTCAACTGTATCCTACTTGATTAATCTCAGCTGATTTTTGCTGTTCTTTCAGGAAAAAATGTTATTACACTGACTGGAGGAGCAAAACCATGGGCAGGTTGGTGGGTGATGTGTAGCTTCTAATTTTGTCAGATAGTCACCCTGGCAAAGAAAATCCATTCGCAGTTGTAAATTTATCCATGAAACTTGGCAAATTGGATTATTTTCCTGAAAACTCAAAATATATCAGCTTAAAGTGTGAAAATATTCGTCTGTAATAAGGTGCAGTACTTTGAAGCTTTGCCAGCTATCATTTAAAAATCAAAAAATGTCCAGGGGGAAAAAAGCAAACCTTATCCTGGCCTTTAAGATTTAACGCTGGAGCCATCTCTGCCATTATCTCTGCTGAATCCAAGACATACTTTTTTAGCATGAGGCATAGTTTTGAGTGTATGTCTCAGATTCTGGCAGTCAGCTGTTTCCTTAGACATGCAAACGTATTTTCTCTCCTGTGTGTCCTGATGATCAGGAACAGATCAATGCCACACACAAAAAAAGGCTGCTTTGAACTTTTATTTGATGGCTGACAGAATAACTTGCAAAACTCACCTGTAAGCTCTGCTGTTGGTGGTGCTTCTGTCAGCCAGGAGAAGGGTACAAGAGGCTGTAGGGATGGGTGAAAGGAGCTTGCTGGGGAATGAGGATGGGGGACACTGTGAGCTGTAATCACTCCCCATTGCTCTGGTCAGACATAGTGATGTCTTGTAAATCATAATCACCAATGGAAAAGATACATGAAAATATTTTACATGAGGGAAATCTGAAAGAGTTCACTGTTTTGGGTTTCCTGGAGATGGGTCTTGAGATGAGATAACATCAGATTTCGGTTCTCTGTCGTTACTTTAGATGATGAAGAGCTCTCATTATTTCTCTGGAACAATTTAAGTACTCTCATGATAACAGTTTGCAAGATGATCTGCTAACAAAAACAGACAAAGCACTGTTGAACGGTAAAGGGAGAAAACTCAAACACAAAAGCAGATAAAATATATTGGAATAAAACAATCTACAACATAAATTTACAACTGCGTTTTTTCCTCTTCCCAGTCATTCGCATGCTTGCTCCATTTCAGCGTGCATTGTGAAAAATGTAAGTGATGTGCTTTTAATGCAAAGGCAAAATCAACAAGCTTTACTTCAAAATTGTCTCATTTCATCTGTAATCCATCTGGTGAGTCCTGCATATTAAATAAATTTATTTTCCTTATGTAGAAGGATATTTTCCCTATTCAGATATCTGAAACGTGCAACTGAAGTTGCACAGTACTTGTGAACCAAGTGATAAGCAATTTTCATGCCAGGTTGATTTTTCATTTGAGGCAAATGCTTTTACCTATGATGTCCTTTGTGAGAATTTGGGGATGAATATTTTTCTGAATATTTTTTCTGACACTTTGTATAATTCAGTGCACAAAGGAATAATGTGAAAACAAAGAGAAAAAAAGAAAGCTACATCTGAAAATGAAAGCTAACTCTAAAATTGCTGACATGCACGTTTCATCATTTTAACTTCTACAACTGTCATTGTTTCCTTGCATCTTACAACTTTTCAAACTCAACTGCTTGTCTGTAATTTATTAAATCTCTTGTTAATATTTCTAAGTTATTAAATAGAGTTTATAAGAGCTACAGTGAAGAACTTTATTAAAATCCCTGTGTATCAAATATAAAATTTTAAGGCTATAGAGTTTTTCTAATTTAGGAATATGAAGTAACACTAGTATATTAGACCCTGCTGTGACATGTACACTTCTCTGACTTTATTGATGTGGTTATATGACAGATGTTCTTTAAAAAGAACAAATGAAAGGACAGAAGATAAATGTAGTGCTTACTGGTACACTTTCTTTTATGTGTTATCTATGTGGTATCTCTCTATTTCTTTATTTATATACCTTTAGAAAAGTCCTTAACATTGTACTTAATCCTATGAAATGTGATTTCTGTTCATAGGATCATACTATAGAAAAAATTCTCTCATATTTATTGGGAGCAATAGTTGAAAAGCCTTCGAAAAATCTTCTCTAAGGAAAGGAATATGCAAGTAAATAGTGTGGGTATCAAAAATTGTCTGAACTCTCAGATTTAAGACTAAATAATCTAATAAATCAGTCTTGAATCTGCCATATTGGACATGCTGATTTCATGCTGGTAAAGAATGACATCAAGGAAAAGAAAATTAAAAGATAGTTGTCTTATAGTGCAGATTCCCTCTGCCCACTGAAATGTTGAAATCACTTAATACTTCTAAGGACAGAGAACCGAAAATTACTTTGTTTAGCAGCTGACCTGCAGCAAGTTTGCTTTGCAAAAGGAATTGTGAAATCTTATGGGTTTCAGTCTGCACACTGAAGTGAAATTGCTGATGTCATTCCAGGGAACAAACGTAGTATCTTTTTTTTTTTCCTTTTTTTTGATGATAATTGTGTCCATGTGTTGAATATGTCAACCATTACATGCTTCCCATTGCAAAACATGGAAAAGCACCATGCCCATGTAACTTGGTGGCACATGGGTGACATTTCTGGCCAGTCTTGAGAAGCACAAACACTGAACAAACTACTGGGTGGTGATTTCTGTCAAAACTACCTAACAAGACCGGTGGAGTTGCTTACTTCTGGTATCTCATTCCATGAGTTTGATTAGATAATGCTAAACTCACCTGTGCAGTGTTCCTTTGCATTGCAGTTATGTAGAATAAATGTAACCTGCAAGGATTTTTGCATGGACTAATTCTGTAAAAAAAAATTAACCAACCAAATAAATCGGAACAGTAACGCCGAGGTTGGAATTTGGGCAAAACTGACATTGCAAGCACCTTCATAAAATATTAAATTTTATAGCTAAGAGTGAAATGCACAGGTGTTTCAGAATACCTTGGTCTGAGGTGCACAGCATTCCAGGAACACCAACTGGAGTGGTTGCAGTAAGAGCATCCCTGAAGCAGCAGCCCATGTCTTGTGCTTCTGCTGGGACACTTTTGATCTCATTGCCTGAACTACTGACTTTCCCAGACCAGCTCTGTCTGCTTTTACTCTTACTGAATAGATGACATTGAATAGATTAAATCAGGAATCTGTCTAAACTGCTACTTTGGACCTAGAAAGCTACTCTGAGTAGAAATGCTAATACTTAGTCCTATGATTTAGGTAAAAGTTTTTTATTTAAATGAAGGCACCAGGAAAATTCAGTTCTTCTTCAACAGTAAAATAACATAAATCAGGAGAAGTGTCTTGTTGGATTATTTTTATACATGGGGGTGATGTTCTTTTCAGTTGCCATGCTATGTGAAGTCACTAACTTTTGAAATGATCAACCATAAGTGATGTAATGAAAAGGCAATAACAGCTTAGATAAAAAACCTTTTTGTCTCAGAAGAGAAACTGCAAATGTAATGGGGACATAAGTATTAATTTATTCCAATGCTGTCTTTCATGTTAAAAAGAACAGACATGAATTTTAAACGAGTTAATTTCTTTATTTTTTCATCTACTATTTTTTTTTTTTAGATTTTTGTATGGAAGAAATGGTCAAGACTTTTCACACAACCAATTTTAAAATAATTTCATGATAAAAGAGTCTGAAATTAGATGCACTGTTTTTCTCTTTTTCCTGATGCATCTGCATATTTTTCTCGTTAAAGAAAAGTCTGGATTTTGACTAAAAAAATCAGCATGTGTACGACAGAAAAAAAAATATGGAGAAAATAAAGGGAAACTGTAGTTATAGACACTGTGTACTGAGAGAACTTGCACTGGAACTAATAAAGATAATCAACTCATGCACTAAGGTATTATTAAGGAGACAGTTATGGGATGCACCTGCCTGGGAACTGTATTCTGTGTTTCAACTTCATGAACATGTTATGTTCTTTGGCTCCTAATGGTTAGAGTCAAACACAAGTGGTGGCTCTCAAGTTACATACAGAGTGTGCACCAATACCTTGGAATATATAGTGAGAAGAAAATGTTGAGAATTTTAAATGTAACTGTAAAACCCTGCTCCCACATTTGGCTGAGATTTCTGTCTGACACTGTGTCAAATAGGGGTAGAACATTTTTGCTGATGTTGATAATAAGAGGTACATCTTCACAAGGGTCACTTTGCTGCCTGAGAGCAATTTACTGTATCATCACTTATTACTCTTTATTATGAACATTATGAAATAATGTTCATGAACATTATGAAATATTGTTAACATCACGAAAAATAACTTTTTATTATAGACATTATGAGATGGGTAGCTGTGCTTCTGCTTAGCACAGGCAATGAAGTATTCACCTCAGAGGAAAAAAGAATTGTTACTAAATGTTACACTTTTTGTGGATATGAGATATATGTGCTTTATCTATCATGTATACATGTGCACTGAGTAGAGCCCAAATCCTACTGAGAAAAATACTGTTTAGGGAATGTTTTTCTCAAAATTAGACTTTTTTGGAATCTCTGATATGCTTATAGTGTCACAATATGGCACTTGTTTAGTATGAGATCTACTCCTTAAATATCCATATTGCATTACAGTTGAGTGTGAAAAAAGTATAGGTCATCAAGGAGTGCAAAATTGAAGTGATAAGTAACTTCGAGTGTTTGCTTGAAAATTTAGTGCACTTCACTATATTTACCCCGAATAAACAATGTCCTGAGACACTATTTAGGCTAGTTGCCAGTAGAAAAAAAACCCAAAACATTTATGTTGCCAGTATATAATCTAATTGAGGATACAACATTGATGTTCTGTTTGTCTTTTGTAGTGTTAATTTTTAGGAATCTGGAGGAAGCCATATCTAGCTTTTTTTTTTTTTTCCTAAATACTGCATAACCATTTCAGTGTAACACGATTTGATATTTAGGTATACTGTTTCATAAGGCAATATCAGTTCTTAGATTTTTAGGAAAATTTTGCAGGGAAAAGCTTTCTGCAGTCAGAAAACCGTAATCTGATCCTCACTCTTATATTTACTTTTACATTTATGAATTTTACTGTGAGTCTTGCCAGGCAAGAGAGGGGGGAGGAGTTCCACTTGAGAAAGTAATTTGATATGTTCTTGAGTAAAGCATAAGCATCCACCGTTCTGCCAGGTGAACTACTTTGGAAAATTATTTTTTCCAATTTTTTCGATACTGCAGTCGCATCTCAAACCGTATCCCACTAATTTTAGGACGAGTTGCGCTCAAGTAAAGTGTGCAGGATGGATTGCAAACAAATATTTTTCATTTTGCTTTTTAACTCCTTATTTTCTTTTAGTTGCCTAATGTGGAAATTTCCTGATTTCATTTCATTTCTGGTGCGATGTCACTAAACGTACGATGCTGGAGATAGAAATCCCGGGGAGGTGAGAGCGCGTAAATCTGATTTCTCGCTGTCTCAGTTTGCAGAGGAATATGAGGGAGCTGAAAAGTTGGTTGCCCAGAAACCCAATGAAGCTTGATAAGGAGGCCCTGCCTGATCTGGAGGAGACAGATTGCTACACAGCACCCTTCAGCCGTGCTCGCATCCACCAGTAAGTGCTGGAGCTGGAAAGGCAGCGCCAGAGACCTCAAGGATTTTCTGTTTTCTCATTTCTGCCAGAGAGGCAGCTGCTGACAAATGGTCACTGGCAAATGTCTAAGTATTGTATTAGGTGTTTTTATGCGTTTTCTCTTAAAGCCAAAAATCTACTCTGTCTTACCTGTTACTGGATGGTCACTCGGTAGCACAGGAAGAAATTGGACTGAAAAATTATTGCTGCCTCTTTGGTTTAGAAGTTTTTCAGTTTTTCTTTCCATTGCATTACAAAATGCAAATACTTGCTCAAGTTGGCTTTGCTTAATTACATATTTAACTTAGGCAAAACCTGATACAGCTGTTGATATTGGGAACACCTGGAGGCAAGCTAAAACCAGGGATGATTTCTTTTTTAAGCTAAAACCAGGGATGATTTTTTTTTTTAAGCTAAAACCAGGGATGATTTTTTTTTAAGCTAAAACCAGGGATGATTTTTTTTTTAAGCTAAAACCAGGGATGATTTTTTTTCCTGTCTTATCAGATCTGCGTTTAAAAAGGTCTCTTGCCTCTGAAAGTACAAATATATGTACACCAAATGTCAACTATATGTGGTCAAATCAGCATGTTGGCAGTGATGTAGGAAAACTGTGCCGTAAATCTTTTCAGTACCCAAAAAATTAGAATTTAAAATTCTGACTGTTCCTTATTTTCTGACCATTGTTTTAGGAGAGAAAACTTAATTTAAAGTAGAAATATGAATTAGGCTAAACAGGATTTCTTCTACTCAGTAAAGAAGCTATATTCTAGTGGACTGACTTTACCCCTGAAAGACAGAGTAATTGCATGATAGCCTCCCTTTTTTTTTTTTCCCCCAGTAATTGCCTATATTGCAATGGGTCAAGCCCCTGGTTTTAGTGGTTTTTTTTCTCAACCAGCTCAGCTGATGTAACCAACTGTTAATAGTATCACTTTTGGCACAGCTGAGGAGGCAAAAGCTCCTGCATGTCGGATTTCTGGCATCCAGAATGGAGCCATCTGTGCAAGGATGCTTTATTTGGCTCCATCCTAGGATACTCTAAGGGCAAATGGTTCTGGAGATGCTACTCAAGTTTCCAGTGCATGGATATTTTTTTTTTTTTTAAATTAGTAGTTTTGGTGGTTCCATGCCATAGACATCTGTCACCTCATAAGTAATTTGAATTTAACGCCACCACTGCTACTGAAGATCTTTAATTAACTATATCCAGAACAGAAATTACCTAGATAGTAGGATAGTTTAGAATTTACTTTTAGTTGTTCTGTTATCCCAAAAATTATCTGTGATGAGGATAACTTTATTGGACCTGCTCTAGGGATGTAAGATCTTATTCAGTAACCAAGGAAAGTAAAGATCCAAATCATTGTAAGAAGGAAAGACTCGAGCAGCTATGTTTCAACACATGTGCATTGTTTTGAATATTAAAAAACATTAATTATTTTAATAGTTTTACGATAAACAACAAAGATAGCTTCTTCAGCAATTCCACAAGAAGTAGAATCGTGCATCACGTGCTACAGAGAACTAAGTATGAAGATGGAAAATCCAAAATGGGTGAGAATGCTGTATTATTTTTCCTAACTTGAAGCTATAAAATTTTATATCTTTACTCGCCTGAAAAAATACCATTTGAGTAAAATAATTTAATTTTTTCTTTCCTTGAAATCTTTTCGTTCACTCCGGATCAGAGTTGAAGCAGTGTCCCATCATCTTCCTAAGTAACTCAGTGAAAATTGGCAATATTTTTCACCTAATTACTCATTCCTTAAAATAAAATGGAGAGGTTGTTATAATTTTACATGATCAAGAGCCACAATAAAGGTAACATATACCTCAGAAAACTGACAGGGTTTTCAAGGACTGATCCTAATATTTCTGCTGCTGTCCAGCAGTTCCAGTCCAGCAGAATCGATGTGAGCTACACTTGACTTATTTGAGGTCTCTGTGCAAATCACAGGCAGTTGATCTGAAGACTAAATTCGGTTTATATCAACACTCCTTATATAACATTAGTTTTTAGAAGATCTGCCTATTAATTTTCATTTGAAATGACCAATGGAGGGATGTATGCATGATTTCCTGTTTTTTCTGCAGGAATTAAATTAAGAGTTAAATAAGTAGTGGCGTATTAAAACCTTACACTTCTGAAAATTAAACAAATTACAGAAGGTTGTTCCTTGAGTTTCTGAAGAAAAGCAGTAGTAAGAAAAACATAGATAACAAAGATTCAAATCTAACACCTTTGCAGTTGATGATGGCAAATTTCATTGTGAGATTAATTTAGCATAACTTGTATATTTGGACAGTCAAATCTGAATTCCACCACATGTACTTATTTCTTGGGGAAACTCTTGGCTACAGGTCTGCACTTACAGGCAACTGAATCTTTTCATTGTAACTGTCAATGGTTATTTATTTTTTATTTTTATAATGTGCTGTGATAGCATAACAAAAACCTGGATTTAGGAAGACTCAAGCAACTGAACCAAAATGCAGTAGTCAGTGTGGTGCAGAACACTGCTCTGATATGAAGTTCAATTGGCTTAAATTTAAAAATACCAGGTTAGCTTTTAACCCTGCTGGGGTTTCACTGCCTCAGGGGTTGTGTGTCCATACCACTCTCTGAGTATGTCAGATCATCTGGTTACCCATAAAATCTGGATCATGTGCTCTGGTGAGTACAACAGGAATGTAACTATCTTCTCACGCTCCATCTGACACAAGCACCCAATGCTGAGAGAAAAGTTGCAGGCTTTGGCCCTCAGCAAGTTGCTGTAGTTTGACAGAGCCAGAAATCTGAAAGGATCAACAAGACCTGCTCAAATAATTGGTGGGATTATTGATTATTGTCATCTTTAGCATCCTGATCATCTAATATTAATTTGTATTCTCAATATGACTTGAAAATTCACACTACTTGAAAAATGTGTGTAAAATATTGATATCAGAACTAATGCTTTTTGTTTTTTTAAGGTATTAATAGGTTACTAAATAACGGAACATATGAAGCAGCATTTCCACCACATGAGGTAACCTGGTTAATTTGATTTTTATTTCTACATTTAGTTAAAGCGTGCCCTCATGGTTTGGGATCCTACTTTAAGTTTGTCCTGCAAATTTTTAATTTCACTATGTAATCTGTTGATACTTTTTTTATTTGTAGCTCTTCCTTTAATATTGACTTTTAAATTTTTCCTTACATTGTGTATTATAATAACATCCTGGAGCATTTTCTTGCTGAACTAGGATATTATAATTTCTACCTGATTTTTATGAACTGGACAATGCCTGTGGAGTTCTTAATGAGAGTATCAGTTGTTCCAAATTTTTCCAGTCATTTATATTAAATTGTTTTTGCTTACCACCTACAAAATGTTTTGTTTTTCTAATAGCTTGGGCATTTGATCACAGTTAGGGAGACCAACTTAATTATTTCCCATTTAGTCTTTCCTGAACAGTTCTGGATAATTTCTACTTGACAATATCTTTTTCAGTAGGTTAGAGTGTACAGTGAAGACTGTAAACCTATGAAGTAAAAAAAAAACTTGTGTATGACTTAAGAGGGTTTTCAGACAATCTTTTGGTATTGAAAGCCACACATCTTCAGACATTTGAAATGCTCTCAGGAGTGTGGTAGTTGCAGCTCTGAACTCTGTGGTTGTTTGGGCTCCATATCGTGACTTGGTCTCATGTTTCGAAGGACTGGGTGTTGCAAGTGGCTGAGAGTAATTTTTTTTAATATGCTATTAATAATTAAATACTGGGAATATAGAGGGGGAGTATTTTAGATAAATAATTTAACATCATTGTTAACGCTTCAGCTGTGTGCTACTGACTTCAGGGAAAAGCTGGCTGTACTACCAGAAAAGCCTGTGAAGCTTTCTCTGGCATCAAAGCTATGCTGTCATATCCATTTTATATGTTCCTCTTTTTTAGCATAAGCTACTGTTACCACATTTCACTTCAGATTGATGAAGTCATATTTTTAAGCTACTTTTATCTTAATTGCTGCCTGACTTGATGCTAGGGACTAGTGGTTAAACATTCAATTTTTTTTTATTTTTTTTTTTAATTTTTTTTCTTTGCTACATGAGCAAATAAGAGTGAAAATTCAATCCCAGTGGGAATGCTGAGACTTGAACTCTATTATGGATAAACAGTGCAGAAAGAAGCAGGGAAAAAAATATTTTAAAACATGCAGCACTGGGTAATGCTGTATGCATTGCAGTCATTCAGCCAGCTGACTGTGAGAATAAGTTAATGCTCTGTTCCTAGGTGTTCCTAGATGTTGCAAAGGTCAGAGTTGACATCTTTGGTGTGCTGTTTTGCTGACTGCAAGGAGAAAGGAGTAGACTTGGACTCTTTGCTATGTTCAGCTTTGTTTTTAACTCATTCTTAAGCCAGAGGATCAGCAGATTGCAACAAGTAAATGGTGTTCTTTGAATCGTGGGGAATGCTCAAGATTTCAAATAAATGATAAAATTCTAAATGGCTGAATTACATGGATCTACCAGGGTAAAGAATCTGTCTGATCACTAACTCTAAACTACTGCTCTGGGGAGCTTCCTCACAACAAATGACTTGGCTCACTTTCAGTTAATTGATCAAATATTTTCTTTACCATGGCCAAGTGGTGGGGGTTTTTTGGGGAAAAAGTTCAACTAAGGGAAATATCCTGCTTCGGAATTGGAGCAAAATTACAAATACAAGAGATTCTGCTCAGCATTGTTCTAGCAAATCTGTGTGTTACCTTTTGACTACCAAGCATGAGGCTGTTATTTCAGTCTGTCACATGGTCTGTAAATGTCAGACATGGCCTGGGAAGGATTCCTTTTGGGTCAGACTGACTCTATGTTCTGGTTTTAATGCCTCAAGAGTCCTATGCAGCTTCAAAATGTTGCCAGTCCTGTTGTTTCCATCATCTTAGAAAATGTGTACCACACAAAGACTAAATTTTTTATATACTTTCAAACGGTAGTGAATTAAAGTCATAGAAAATGTCCAGGAGAAGAGAACTGAGCTGATGTACCAGAAATTTCTAAAATTTTGTAGAAGAGACAAAAAAAAGACACCACAAACATCTCTTGAAAATTTTTGAAGAATTGAAATAGGTGAAAGCATACAAATAGGCATATATTAGTGAAATAGAAGCAATGTACTTGAAGTCATGTAAAGAGTTGAGTACTTCTTTATAGTCTTGTATTAATATGTTTCTGTCATTAATTATTAGAGAAACTGGCCATTTCAGAAGCATATGTAACCCTATCTCTTCTGTCAGGCTTATATTAGTTCCAGGTGACATATCCCAGAAGTGTCCAGAATAAGAGACTTATTTATTAAGGAATATTTCTATTAAAATTACATTCAAAAATACCTAAGAAACTTACATATTTTTCCATAGTGCCTAGTAATGTACTTATATTTCTTTGTGGTTTTTTCAGGGAAGCCACAAAAGCAGACATCCCATCAAAACACACGGAGCACAGAATCACAGACACCTCTTGTATGAGCGTTGGGCACGGTGGGGAATGTGGTACAAATACCAACCTCTTGATTTAATCAGGTATTAGTACTTTGAAGAGTTTCTGTGATACAAACAGCCTGGCAACAGTGTGCTAACCATACTCCTAAATTCCTGGTGCTTTCCTATAACATTTCACTCTTATCAGATAAGACTGGGATTCTCTAAGTTGCTTCTTTTGGGTGGTCTTTTGTGTAGGGCTGTTTATTTCAAATGAGTCTGCATAAAAGACACGTAGTTCCAACTGCTCCAGCCTTTGCAGTGTGAAACTTAAATACAAACTCAGGATGTGGTCTGCTGATCAGAGACACTTGCCCCTCATGAGAGCAGCTCTGAGAGCAGACTCTTATCCACGTGGACAGTCCATGTTACCAGATGCAGTGAACTTAAAATGTGACTCAATTGTAACCTTGTAATGTGGGTTTAAATAAACTCCTGTTTATATGTCTTAGAATTAATGTAATAGGTTACCAAATGTAAAGTAGAGAAATATATATAATTGAAGTTTAATAATGGTGATACTTGAGTTTCATGCTTTCCTCCTCTGACATTGAATACCAATAATTCATTTTCCTTGCTGTCAGTTTTTATTCTTGATCTGACAGTCATAACCAATCATCCTTGGAGCTAAGCATGTGCCATGGGACAATTCTGTGCTGTATCATCCTTGATTGACTTTCTGATCATTGCTGCTTCATCTGTTCTAGCAACTGATACTCAAGTTTTGAAGAATTAAGGCTCAGTCTTCAGCTTGTGTTTTCAGACCATTGTTCTCACTAATAATAGTTTGAAATATGTCGTGTTACATGATTATCTATCATAAATGCCTTTTATAATAGAATACTTAGATCATACCAACTTACTTTATTCCTTTCCAGAACTTTTTGTATCTGTGTACATCTCTCTCTCTCTCTCTCTCTCTCTCCTCCCACTCTTAATTAAAAACTAACTAAACTAATAATGTTGATACTGGTACATCTACTTAGCCATTGCAAGGACATGCAAATTACAGAGGCACTTCAGTTATATCCTTGTATATCCTCATAAGTCTGCAATTGATGTCACTAGAATGTTATATTATAGCCTGAAAAAAGAACCCCACCTTTTGGTAATCTGCCAATTTTGCCATAAACTTGTGGTGGTAGTTCCTTGTTAGAATTATTCTGCTACTGTGATAATAGAGATAGATAGAAGTCACCATAAGTTTTCACTTTAAACAATGTTTCCTTTTCATGTAGGCGATATTTTGGTGAAAAAATTGGACTGTATTTTGCCTGGCTGGGATGGTATACTGGGATGCTTATTCCTGCTGCCCTGGTTGGGCTCTTTGTTTTCCTCTATGGATTATTTACAATGGATTCCAGCCAAGTAAGGTAAAATCCTATTTAATAACATGTAATAGCCTGTTGAAAATTAAGAACACTGTGACACAACTGAGATTGTTATACTTTTAAATGTTTTCCAGATATGGTAATCATGTAAAAATAACCAAATAGAATATTATGCACTTGAGTCAAGTGTATACACTTTGCATATCTGTTTTGCATCCAGCTGGATGCACACCATTGACAGCAACTGTTCTTACTGCTGCATCCACAGTGAGTCCTTCTGTCTGGAAGGAAAAACAGACCAACCTGTCTTTAAGGACCAATTCTACTGTTGTAGATACTGCAATAGTTGTTGATCTAATCCAAGACATATTCCCTGTTTACCTCCACCTTGCCTGTAACTTCAGGCTGTAGTACAGTTGCTAAACTTCAACTTCCTTTTGCCTATGCCTTTTTTTTTGTCTCCCTGCATTAAGAGTGGCAAACTTGGAGTCTTAACAAAATTCTTATCTTTGTCAGTGTAACTTGAAGCCAGGAGACTCAGCTTGAGGGAGGTTACAACCACATGAAATGAACCAAGTTTTCAAGTTTCCCACTGTTGTGATTTTGCTCTGAGACGGGTTTATGTCAATTTAGAAGTTGTGATGAGCGTGCTTAAGTTAAGGGCTGACTGTACTTTTGGGGACTGTTTCAGAGGATGCACCCTCATTACAAAGTTTTCCATCACTATCAGTCCTCTTACAATTGCAACTGTTCCTCCAAGCAGTTTGGGAGCTTAGGCTGTAAGTATACTTGGAGTCAGATTTCACAGAAAGTGTTGTTTCTTGGGCTTTGAGCAAGACTGTATTAAGTTTTCTTTATGGAATTTTCTTTAACTTGTATTTCACTTTCACAGTGAGTTATATTCTATAGTGTTGTAATGCATGCCTTTTTTTTGTCTTGCTTTTTACAGCAAACTCATGAGAAACTGTACAAATTCAAGCTGCATCAAATGCAGTTAAATGCAATAAATGTATCAGACAGGAAACTATGCTGTCTTTAAGATATTGTTCTCTGTATTAGGATTGTTTGTCACCATAAATGCTTGCAAAATACAATGGATATGAAGTCAAGGATCAGCCTGTTCTTAGAGCACAGGGACTAGAGCTGTTGAACTGAAAATCTTGTGTTTGTTGCATGTACAGTGGCAGTTTCAATAAAGGGGGAACGAGGGGCCATAATCTACTATTATCACGATATATCTTAGTATATCAGGCACTCCTTGGGGAAGAGAAAAGTGTGGCATTGACAACTCCCCAAGAAAAAGAACAAAATTTCTAATAACTTCATTCTTTCCAACTGTAAGCTATTGTATGCTTGCATATCATAGAATCTTAGAATATCCTGAATTGGAAGGGACCCACAAGGATCATCAAAGTCCAGCTCCTGGCCCTGCATAGGACAGCCCCAAGAATCACACCACGTGCCTGAGAGCGTTGTCCAAACGCTTCTTGAACTCTGCCAGGCTTGGTGCTGTGACCACTGCCCTGGGGAGCCTGTTCAGTGCCCAACCACCCTCTGATTGAAGAACCTTTTTCTAACATCCAACCTCATCCTCCCCTGACACAACTTCAGGCCACTGCCTCTGGTCCTGTCACTGGTCATCAGAGAGAAGAGGAAGCTGTAGACTGCTATGAGGTCTCCCCTCAGTCTACTCTTCTCCAGGCTGAACAAGCCAAGTAACCTCAGCCACTTACGGCTTCCCCTCTAGGCCCTTCACCATCTTTGTAGCACTCCTTTGGGCTCTCTCTAATAGCTTTTTATCTTTCTTATATTGTGGCACCCAAAACTGCACACTGTACTCAAGGTGAGGATGCACCAGCACAGGGTAGAGCAGGACAGTCACCTCCTGTGTGTCATACACTTCTCCCAAGAACACGTGAACATGCAACTCTTGTTAAGTTCTTTTAACAGAGAGATGCAGTTGTCTTCCTTGCTGAAGGTTGCAGGATATAAATCCCGTGAGCACAGAGGTAGGCTGTCTTCCAAGGTTTCCTGCCCTCAGTTTTTTCCCTTTGCTGCTGCTGAGTAGCTGCAGACGGAACACACAGACCTGAGTTTGTCCCCATGGGGGCTGGTTGTATTGGGTCCCACCCTGAGGTACCTCAGTGTCATGCTGTGCTATATAGAGTGTCAGGGAGCCCATCAGGGTCTCCAGGCTCTATTCTAGAAACAAGAGACTGAAAGTCAGGTAATCCACCATGTAAGCCCTAAGTGCCCACAGGGGGAGGTGAGTATATATATATTTGTTATAGCTATCATTAGCCAGCATTCATTTCAAAATGCTATGAGAGGGTGGGATTTTGCAGAAGGCCTGGCTGTGTGCTCTGTGGCAGCCCCACACCTGTAATTTGGGTGTGTTAATTCTGGGCAGAAGGTCCTATCTGCATTTGACCATGTGAATCTGACACAGTACTGTCACATCAGGGCATTGCTCAGACCAGGTTAGTGAGAACAGCTGTGAAATGTGGATTCAAGAACAGATTTGAACTAACTCCAGCTGATTATGCCTGGTCTGATAAAATGTGTGTAGATGTTTTCTGTACCACCTTGTGTGCTTAGGCAATTCAAAAGGCCACTGATAACAGATGCTACTCCTTGTCATATTTGTTTACTTAGCCTGGAAGGTGTTAGTGAGGATTAGAGAGAAACCTCCTACCTAGAGCAGACAGGAGACATGCAGAGACAGACTGCACATCTGTCCTTATTCTTGCCAGAGTCTGGGACTGTGAGATTATTTGTCTAGTGTTTCTGGAGTCGTTTAAAGAAAACTTCTAGCTAAGCAACTGTAAGAGTTTGAAAATCTGTCACTTGATTTTAAGCACTGCAGCTACTGCAGTGTGCAAGTGCAGTGTTCAGCAGCGATCAGGAAGAAACAGAGCTGGGTGCAATATTCTGAAAAAATCTAGACACAGGAAACCCAGTGGCAATTAAGAATTTAAAAGTAGTGCTAGGGCATTATGGCAGTGTCAGAACTGGCACGTTGCCCCAGATTCAGTATTATTTGGTGAGCACTATTTCATGTGAAACAGGCTTATTACACCAGTTATGTGAAATCTGTGGACGTTAGGAAGCAGTGATGTAAAGTATGATAAATTCTGTCAAAAAGCCCAGTTTATTTGTCTTGTGTGCCACAAAATCTGAACTTAGCAACTGTTCAAATCAGTTTTGCAGAAGGATGATTTCCTCAGTGATGTTCCTTCACTGCTCAGGTGCAGGGAGCTGCCATCAACCCCCCTCTAGTGGCTTCAGGCAGGAAACAATCGTTTCTTCTTTTTCCAAACATCCAGCACAGTTTCGGCAGAGAAGGAATAAGCAAATAAACAAGTATATATTGCCATAGAACTGAGCATTGCTTGGCATGCCAGCCATAGGTTTTGTGCAGCAGTAATTCAAGGATAATGCAGAATATTGTCACACCTAAGATCTAGTTTGTTTGTGCAGTGTTACTGAAATGTTCTTTGTCTTGCATGAGCTTCGAATCAAGCTTAGTAATACTGTGGTTGCCATAAGCCAGCACTGAAGTCCTCTAGGGTACTGAGATTACATTGTTGGCAGCTCATTGCAGGATACCATTATGAGAAGAAGGCAACCAAGAGAAATATCCAGAGAATCTCTGTTGAAGAAACTCCATAGTAGCTTCCAGGATATTTGGATTATGTTCATAGGACTCAGACATGCAGAAACAAAAATGCAGAACATGAACTTGTATTTGTTGTTTCATACCCTTTTAAATAGGTTTTGATCCAAGTGTCCTCCCTGAGCTGAATTGGAGGGAATGCAAAGTGGTAGTCAAATGGAAGGGCTTAAATAGCCCTATAACTCTCCCTTCATTGGGGTTCTCTCAACAAATTATGTGCCATATCTATTACCTGTCTTTATTCCAAGTTGCATGTCAAGTCGATTAGTCCATATAAAAATAAATCTGATGGTTTTAAAGAGTTTGGTTTTGATGTGTTTATAGATATTAATTTTCACTGTTGTAAATTGTCCCTTTATTGTCAGGCAGACAGAAACGCCAGGCATGAACACAGCATAGCTTGAGCTGTCTTTGTTCCATGTGCTGCAGTCAGATTTCAGATATATAGGTGAGAACAGTACAAAGCAGCTTATTTTGCTCTCTTATACTGAAGATTTGAGTTGCAATTGAATAACAATTAACATAGCACCTGTCACAAACACTTGTGTAGCAAATGTTATTGCCTTTGCAGAGTAGTATGAGAGCATATGAGCTATCACTGTCAGTATAATTTTGTGAAACTTTGTGTGTCATTAAAAACAAATCAACATTTTAACTCGAGATATAGAATACAGCAAATGTAACATTTATCATCTGAATTTTGGCCTTATATCTGACAACAGTTTGCATTATTGCCGAACCATTATAGCATGTGATTAAAATGTGATTTTTCTGTGCTTAATAATTTGATTTAAAATGTAAGCAAGAAAATTTGCTGATGTGACACACACTAAAATTTCTGTTACTCTGCAACTCTGAAATGACTGGCTTTGCTCATTCTGGCTTAAGAGCTATCCAGGATGATTTCTTTGTCAAGTCCACATTATTTTTAGGGTTTCAGTGAATTAGTGATTGTTATATTATGTGAAATATGACCAAAGATTGTGATTTATATGTAATCTTTTCTCTGTGTTTACTTTTGTGTCAGTATTTAATAGAACCACTCATTTGGAAATAACCACAATCTCCCGAACAGTGTTAAAAGTGTAAATTCAGCTTTTAGGAGAAGGAGAGTGAAAGTGCAAGGTTTATTAAAACAATTTAGTAGGGATTTCCTGGTATTTGTTTTATACTGCTACTTCCCTGGTGTGTCATAGGATCATTTCAGGCATGTCATCATTGCTGAAGCACAGGGAAAGGCAATAACTGAGGTTCTCTGGGCCCCTCAGCTCAGGAAGGACATGGAGGTGCTGGAGCAGGTCCAGAGGAGAGCAACGAGGCTGGAGAAGGGACTGGAGCACAAGTGCTGTGAGGAGAGGCTGAGGGAGCTGGGGCTGTTCAGCCTGGAGAAGAGGAGGCTCAGGGGAGACCTCCTCACTCTCTGCAACTCCCTGACAGGAGGGGGGAGCCGGGTGGGGGTTGATCTCTTTTCCCAGGGAACCAGCAGAAGGACAAGAGGGCTCAGGGTCTTAAGCTGTGCCAGGGGAGGTTTAGGTTGGATATTAGAAAGAAATTTTTTACAGAGAGGGTAATCAGGCATTGGAATGGGCTGCCCAGGGAAGTGGTGGATTCCCTCTCCCCGGAGGTTTTTAAGATGAGACTGGATGTGGCATCAGTGCCATGGGCTAGGAACCACGGCGGGGTTGGATCAAGGGTTGGACTTGATGATCTCAGAGGTCTTTTCCAACCTGGTGGATTCTATGATTCTGTGATTCTATGATTCTTTGGGAAGCTTACTCACTGCAGTTAAAATTTCCTTTAAAATTCATTTTTGCACTTCTGTTAGTTTTGTTATGCCTTTGTCAAGACAATTAGTTATGTACTATGCTTTGAATATGAATGGTCCTAGTGAAGACAGTGCCTTCATCATCCTAAATCTTAGGATTCTTAAACATCAGAATGTGACTTGAAGATGGTGATCCCCAAAATAGGATATTAAAGTGGGGTTTTTTTATTAGTCCTATGCCTAAGTTCTTCTGTAGAAAATAAAAACTCAAAGACTTGAAATGCTACTGCCAGAAATTCTGTCGGTGGGTTTTTACGTGTGACTGACTGATCTATGTGTGTATATCATCATCCTATGGAACAGACCTTCAGCTGATATGACTGGGATAATTTGATTGAAATCAATGTAGTTATACCAGTGATGTTCATCCCCTCAGTGTTTAGTATCTTCTACATCACTTAGAACAATAGGCAGCAAATGGCTTGGAAGGTAGTGAGCAATTTTTAGTTCTTCTGTTTGTGATATTTGGGAGAGAATTCACTAGTGTGAGAAGTGTAACATGATGTCCAAAAATATTGCATACCACCCCAGGTCCCATGGTTTTCAGGTTCCTGTTTTGGGATTAGACTTTTTAAGCCAAACATTCACTTTTGGTTTATTTTATTAGTCCAGTTTGGTGGCGTAGCCACTCTCAACAAACGGGGAGCACAAATGGCATAACCTCAGAAAATTTTGAGAATTCCAGGAGTCTTTTTATAATCTTTATTTTCCTGTCTCACACTAAAGCAAAGAGATCTGCGAGGCAAATGAAACCATCATGTGCCCTATGTGTGAACGCAATTGCACACTACAGAAACTCAATGAAAGCTGCATCTACGCCAAGGTAATTATTATATTATTGCTATCAAGATAATTTTTGTGTGAAGACCCCCTTTTATTGTGTCATGCGTAATGACTGCCCTTGTTTCAGCCAAGATTCCTGAAAAATGTGTTGTTTCTCTACAGAGATCTTTTTCAGCCTTTCTAATTCATCTTTCTAATAAGGAAGTGACCTGAAACGACCAGAGATTATTCTAAAATTCTGTGAGCATTTCCTTAGTGATAGATTATTATTTTCATCAACTTAAGTCCCCCATAATACATTTTTTGTGTGTGTGGTTTTTCCTGCTTTCCCCAGTAGCTAGCTTCTTTCCCTTGCTTACTTTGTAATTGAATTTTTGCTTCTCCTAAAGGAATTCTCTAGCATAATGTGCCTGTGATGTTCTTTGTCGAACTAATGCAAAGATTTCACACAATTAAATATTTTGCTGCAAGAAGCTCTTCTTCAAACTTAAATACTCACAGGGACCTCAGTATATGTGCAGTGTTTGCAAGTGAGCAAAATATTTTGCTGTGTGATATGTTCATAATGCTGGAAAAGCAGCATTGGCATTTTTCTTGGAATTCTTTCCCCCATAAGATAAATCCTTTCTCAGAAGACTGTATTTATAAAACGTGGTGGTCTCTGCTCCATGGCATTACAACGAAACTGCAGCAGTGTGAAAGGGAAAATGAATTTTGTATTAGGTTTCAAGATTTCTTATAGATAGGACCAATGTTGAGTAAAACTGAACCCTTTAAATATATCTGTAAAGATATTTTTAAAAATTATTAATGTTTATAATTTCCAAATTTAATTTTCTATTTTTGTAATGCTGATATCACCGAAATATTACTGAAAATGTTGTACTTAAGGCAAGAGTTTTTAAATACTACTGTAACTATATAGCAGAAAATGGCTCCATGAGGGTTTTTTGTAACTTTTATTTTACTAATTTCTTTTTCTTTTTTAATGTGCACTGAAAGTAAAAGCTTTCTTAAGTGAAATAGCATTATGCAAGCTATACAACCCATCCCAGAAATCCTTTTTTTAGGAGATGGTAAGTGCCTCTTCAGCAGTTCACTGCAGTTTAACAGGAAGTTAATACACTTTAGATCCTGTTATGTTAACATCTCCAGTTAATAAGAAACAGCTTTTTGTCTTATTTATATTTACACTGACATCATCTGCTTAAATCATGGAAATTTCACATTTAATGTCACATTGTGAATAATTCGTTGTCAGAGAAAAAATGTGTCAGTCCATCCATACTTCATATATTTTCAAATCAATCCTTTTGAAGAAAAATTCAGCTGACAACCAGGGAAGACAAGCAGTTACCCCTCATATTCCACAGTCACAGGCACTCGTTTCTCATGTCTGCAATTATAGAAATTGATGTAAGCTCCCAGCTTTTCCTGCCAATGCTCTTGCTCTGAAAAACCCATCAACCTTGGATTGGAACACAGAAAACAAACAAAAATTGTCTCCTTTCAAGATTTGTGTGTTCTGAATCTCCCCCAAGCGTGGGAGAGAGAGAGAGAACTCTCTTTGGGAAGGAATAGGATTACCATCTGGCCAATTGAGTGGCAAAGAAAAATGAAAAATAAATAAAAGCTCAATGAAGCTTTTTATAAAGGTTATAACTGTAATGCTTTCACTCACTGTGGTGTCTCTAAAGAAAAAATTCACAGCATCATCACTCATTACCTCTTGGTATGGACTGTCTGGTTTCCAGCAGGGATTGTGATCCCACTGGTTGCCACCGTCTCGCTCAACTTGAGCAGCAAATATCTAAATATGTGTCACCACTTCCACTGTGTTTGCACCCAAATTAGTGAATGAAAACAGTCTGTAATGTTAGAAAACTATAGTCTGATTTCAAATCAAATGATCCTTTGTACTTTCTGAAGCACTGTTAGTAATATAAGTAAGTAGAACTAATGTATTTAAAAATAAGTCATTGGATCTGCTCTCTGGGAAAAGAAAATGGCATTTCCTGCTTCTTTCTTGTTCCAGAGATGGAGATTGTCAGTGTTTTCCTCTGGTTATGTCATTGTGGGAACATAACTTACTTCTCTGTCTACCTTCTACATAACCAAAGAGCTGATAGCCAAGGAAAGCTGTTCCTGATTCATTCCAAACATCAGCACCCTTATTCTGGAGTAAGCATTTTAATCCTTAGTCATTCAAGTAGCTCATTGTAGAGTACATAAATGTTGAGTTAATTAGGGACAGTGAGTTCCTTTAAGTGATTAAAGTTCATTTCCCCAAACCTGCTTATGTCATAGCCTCGTTTATGTAAGGCCTGTGCTCATGTTTCAGATTATTAAAACTGCTGCCAGGGGTTCTTTCTTAAATATCTGCCATGTTTCCCTGCAGAGGAGCAGTTCAGACTGAACAGATTAATGCCAGAAAAATAATATACTTCAAATGCTTTTTCGGCCAAAGCTAGAGACAGAATACAAAAGAAGCCTTTTTCCTTCTTGTTCCTGCCCATTTCTTTCATCCCCTCCCTCTTCCATTTAAAAATGCCACACTGAAGTGAGGTTTATCATTTAAAGGAAAGGCAGGTAGTACCTGAAATGCTGAATGACCAGGCTGTCGTTCTGATCCACATCAAATGGACTCTCTGCTCTGTGATTTGTGTGGGTCCTGCACCCAGCACACCTTGGCCTTGGGGCAGGGTGTTGATTCAGGGTGGATTTGCAATGCCTCAGGTTGTGTGTGATGCTGACAACATCAATCAGGTATGCTGACAGACTAGCACAGAGCCCTGCAATGTCACCTCTGCTCAGAGGCCTTCTGATCAACAGTCTCAGACTCTGCCTTTAGCCTTTAAGACTGTCAAGTCTTAATTTTGAGTCCGGTCCTGAAAGACTTCTGCCCAAACACTCTTTATGAAGACAAACCCAAATCAGGAGCCCAGTATCTATTTTCTACTCTTAGCTACATTAATTCTGCTGGCTTAGGTTTTGTTGGTTGGTTGGTTAATTTTGTGTTTTCTTGGAAAGATGCACGGTTTACTGAGCAGAATATCCAAAGTCATGTCCTCACACAGATCTACACTTAAAACCAATAATGTTCATCAGAGTTATTGTGCTGCTTTTGTTCACTTCTCACATGTTCGGTCTCATACCCATTATGTTTGTGTTTTCCTTTATGGAAGGAAAAGAAAAACAAAGCAAAATACATATTGGATTGACAGTTGATCCCACTGTATGATCCTGGCAGGGAACGTACTGGATTTATTGATGTCCAATACCAAATGGTCAATTCCAATTTCCAAACCTCAAAAAAAAAAATTAAAACAGAACTGACATACAGATAAAGTGTATGTTTATAATAAATTCTCAGGACATTATAATTTTACTGAATAAGAAATAAAACAGAGGCAAGAAACACAGTTTCTATTAACATTTTCTGCTTTCATTAGTTAGTTAGCTTTTTTTTTTTTTCAAATAGGAATTTGAAGTCTCTGCTTTGCTTAACAATTGTCATCAACATCTTAAACCACCTTTCATTAGAAGAAGTGTAGGCCCAATATCCTTGGATAAATTACATTGCTATAAATTGGCAACTTTAACTTGACTGAAAGTATATTGATCTTAATATCAGCTTCCTAAATACGGTTTCATATTATGGATTGAATACTAGAAATTGCAGATTTTTGTAATATAAATTATGGTGTTTTCATAAGTTTTGTAAGAATCAAACTCACCCACTCAAGATGTTTAGAATGATCCATAGGCATGCAAAACCTGATTTTTCAATCAATACTTATTTTCAGTAAGTATAAATAAACAAATATAAGTAAATATATATATATAAATAAATATTTTCTGTTTCAAGATGTATGTTCAATCCTCAAGCCTTAGACTTTGCAGCAGAATAGCTGTTCTGCTCAAAAAAATCTTTTGACAAAGAGTAAGATAAGAAATAAATCCAACTAAAAGAAGAGTATTCATGAGAAGAAATTAAGTTCATGGTTTAGAATTACGTGGGCTTCTAGAGGCTGATATTTAGAAATTATTTAATGTTTGTTGGAGTTAAAGTGCACAAGCCTCTTAAAAAAGAGATTATGTCAACAATTTGAGGGGCTGAATGTAATTCCTGGATAGAAAGGAATACATGCTATTCTTACCTGCACAGAAATTGCAAAACAGCTCAGGATAAGAATAAAATGAAATCAAAGGAGACATTAAGTAGAGGAAGAAAAGCGAAGAGTTATTTAAGCTCATAAAAACCACAAAATAGAAAAGGTTGAGGTTAAATCTGACCCACTGTGTGACTGGAATTCTGGATGAATTTTTAACCTGCCTGGACATGGACAGAACAGCTCTTAGTGTCTGATGATGCGTGAAGTGATGGTCTGGAACAGCAGATTTCAACCTTACTGAAAGAGTGTGACAAACCTTGGTAGAAGGAACGTGCAAGTAGGATTACTTATTACAAAGCTTAGCTTTCAGCTTCTGCCACCAGTTTTGTAGCCTGGGATTTTGGGGGCAAAAGAGAATGTGGCAATATTAATTGTTCCTGATGTATTGTTTTTCTGTTTAGGTTACACATTTGTTTGATAATGGAGGGACTGTCTTCTTTGCTATTTTCATGGCAATTTGGGGTAAGTACATTTTTACTTTTTTTTTTTTCCTTTTTAGTTTACTCAACCCTTTTATATCGTTACTTGATAAAGGGAGATTAATTATAGCTCTTGATAAAGTCTAAAGAAGGATTTTATTGTACAAACACATTTTTTCCTGTTTTCATTCACTTCAATTTCTGTGCCAATAGTGAAAATAATGCCTTTTGTTGCTAATGTAATGACTCTCTTTAGTGTCTTTAAACCTGAATTTTATATTATTCAGGCCAGAGTCTTTTTAGAGGCAAGCATATAGGTTAGTCAGCCTTCCAGTCTTTTCACACTGGTGGATACATTCTTCTCCTAGGATAATTGACTACCACCTTTTATCTTAAGTCCCTCCCCACAGTCTAAATTAGTAGGCATATTTGGGGAAAAGAGGAAAGAAAAGGTGGATACCACAGTCTTTCTGTAACCCAGGACACCTCTTGTAATAGGTCAGTGTAATTGTGCCATAAAAGACAGATTTGATGGTTCCAGCATGAAATGCTTGGTGGAATTAGCTTTCACTGAAGCTAATAATACCTTCATGCTGGGAAACAGGGAAGAGGAATAGAACAAGAGATAATTAATTTTACCAATGTAAATGTTTGTCAGAGTAAACCCTAAAAAAATAACACCAGTTCACATACATACAGCTGTCTGAATTCAAGCCAGAGTTTTCAAGGTTTAAATAAAATGGCACACAACAACTTTATTTATGTAATATATATGAATAAGCATTAATGATTCTAACTTTAGGTGAAGGACGAACAAGTGTCATGAATTTTGAAGGCTGGTATGGTAAAAGCAAAAAACAATATACAAACAAAAGCAAAACAGCAAAGAGTTACATAGAAAACAGAAGCACATGCAAAAATCAGAATTGGATTGTTAAAAATTAATATGATATAATTGAAGGCCACACTTTGTTTGCCTCAGTGATATTTCTTCGTTTACTCCTAATCTTGCTATTAGGGCATTGCAATTATTAATTATTGCTTTCATAAATTCCTAAAATACATTGCAGTTAGTTTTATGGTTACCAGTGCAGAGAGCACTGGTAGCTTCTTAGCATCTCTTCATCTCTATCCTCAAGTTCTCCTTAGAGAGAGCTCTTTCTGTTTTCGGCTGAGGCCGAGGTTCAAGCGTAAGGAGGAATTTGCTTAAATGACACTGCTTTGTCAGGAAAATGGTAAGGTGTGTGCTAAGGAAGGTGAAAGCTGAGCATTACATTTTTCTTCATTTCAAGCAGCAGGGTGATATTCTCACGTAAAAAAGGTGAATGTGTCTGGATAAAATGTTAGAAATCAGGTTCTGGCTTTGATGGCTCTCGTGCTGTTTCTGTGGTTGAACCCGATTGGGATGGCGACACTGCACATCAAATCTTTAACCTTTTAAACAAATACCTGTTTAACCCATATTCAGTGTGACTGAGCAGTTTCTCTCTGATGGGTGTGTGTGCATGTAGTTTACTCAGATATCAAATAGAACCTCGTTGCAGCCTTCACAGGCAGTTAGTGAGATAACTCCATCGACATGAGCCACAGTCTCCACACCAGATAAAGCATTTTAGCAGAGCACAGTTAACACAAGCATGTCCCATGAGCATTGTTTTCTCTGCATTTGCCTTTGCAGCTGCGTCTTTTTCATGTTCTTTCTTTTTCTTTAGGCCTGTCTGGTAGTTGCAAACAGATAAACTATGCAATTATTTGCATTATACTGCCATATGTTATGCTTTAGCTGGACAGAACTGGACCATGCTTTTTAGGGTATCTGTATACACAGCAGAGATTCCTTTCCTCTCATGTTTGGTATTTCTTCTATCTAACCTGTACTGACACGTTTTACATAATTTCTGCAGATCTGGCCTGCAATTCAAACAGCAGATCGGTTTGACAGAGGAGTAGAAGCTTATCTTCTTTTTTTCCCATCGATAGTGATTTTAATTCTGTGTCATCCTAGTCAAAAGTTAGGTGTAGTTCGTGTTACTTGGTAGTTCCATTCTCTGCAGCAAACTTCAAGTAATCAAAACTGAGTAATCCAAATAAATCTAATTAATTTTGTCATATTCACGGAGGAAGGTACAAATGTAAAGTGGGGCCGTGAGTCATTTGTCAGATAGACATTGTATTTGAACACAATAGTTTCACTTCAAGGTAGTTGAACTGAGGATTTTTTTGTTATATTGATATTAAAATATCATTGCAGTCCTAGTAAAATTTTTCTGTTACAATGTCCGCATTGTTGGCAAGGCAGAATCTTGCCTGGATGCTGTTTGTCTATATTATTTCTAAGAAAGCAGCTATAATATCCTTCCAGGAAAACCATAGGTTGATCATTTAATTACAAAGTAGAGTAATCATGCTCTTGCTGCTGGACCCTGCCTGTCACCTATCAGTGTATCTTGTGATTTTTCCCTTAGTTTTCAAAGCACTGTTTGCACGGTAATGGCTGTAAGATAACAGCTGCCAGGTTGTTTTGGGAAAAAATGAAAGGCTGTAGATAACAGGCAAGAATATGATCTGAAGCAAACATTACAGTGAAGGGAGGGATGGTGGGATGTCAGCCATGGGAATGCCGTCGGATGGGCTCCCTGCACAGTCTTCCTCTGTCTTGTCTGCTGTGCTGGTTTTGTCGTCTGATGCACCTCCGAAACTCGTGTCATATGGTCCAAGTGAGTTGTCTAAGTGGAGAACTGAAGGGATAATATATATATATATTTTTTATATATATATTGCTTGAAAGATTTTTATCCCCAAACACTGGACGCCTCATCAGCCCCTCACAGTTAAACCTCTTTCTGACATACAGGAGAGCAAAAGATAAAGGCCCTGATTCATGATCTTCTGCAGATAACTCATGTGCTCCCAGCAACACCCATTCAGCACCCACGTGGGTGGTGGACTTTCAAAGCTACTTCCTGATCTGACATTCTGGCAGCTTTCAGCTCTTGCATTTAAGGCAGAAAAGGCATATTGCCAGAGTTTATTTAGATTTCATTTTATACGAGAAAAAAAAAGGTGTGTTTAGCCTCCCAGTTTGTTTGTTTAAACATTGTTTAAACATTGTTTGTTTAAATGTTTGTTTAAACATTTAAAAATTAAGTCCAGGAACATGATACAAATATTTGGAGTGCGATTACACGGTAATACAAGTTTATATATACTCATGGAGAAGGCAAAAGCAATTTTTTTAAATTTTTAAACCTCTTAAAAATATTTTTACTCGTAGAAACAGATATATCTTCATCCTTCATTCTGTAATTGATGATGGATGACTAGAGAGTCTAGCTGTTTTTCAGTTAATCAGTTTGGGAGAGTTTTTGAGCTATAGTTTTGAACTCACCCATAATCCTTTGAATGAGTTCACTGATACTAGATATGATTTTCCTGATATTTCAGAGATTAAAAAAAAAAACATGTAACGAGGAGACATAGAGTTAAGGGGAGTATTGGTTAAGCTAAAATTTAAAAATAATAAATTAATGTCATTTGAAAACTAGTTTGACTGGAGTTGATGATATCCTAATAATTCAGTAAGACCAGACTATTTAAGCAGCCCTGTGGAGAAATAAATGTTCTTATGCAAAGCACTTGTGCTGTTCCTTACCTGGGTCACTCCTTGTGTCATCATAAAGCCGTCTGTGGGAAAATGAGTCAGATCTTTTCTTACCACATATAAAATATCCAATCAGACCAATTAATATAAATCCCAAAATGACTCCTACAATGACACCAGCTATTACTCCTTCTTTGTTGGTTTTGGCTGGGAGAGAGAGAGAGAAAGACAAGACAGTTGAATGGGAGTTAAAAATCTATAAAACCAGATACTTCATTCTGGCTTTATAACAGTTGAGGCTTTGTGGAGTGAGGCTTTTCACCAAGGATCTGAAACACTATGACTAGACCAACCTCTCTGCAGAAACTTTCTACCTTTGTAAAAGAAAAGAGACGTCTCCATCCTTGAATTTCGGGGTAAAAACTGGGGTTTAGAAAAAAAAAAAAGGTGGCTAAGTGAGTTTTTAGTCAAATAAAAAGGTTCCAGGTTTAATTGCTAAATCAACCACTATCCTTTATTTAAAGAAATAAGCAGTAATCACTCTTTGAATGCAACTATTCATAAGCATTTAGGCCAGCAGTTAAAATTGCAGCCTCTGAATTTCAAATGATTAAATTTTAGAGTACCAGTTTTTGCATACGCAAGGTGAGAAATCCAGTAATGCTTTTGGCACCTGTTCAGTTAGCAGAATAACTGTGTTCCTTTACCATTTTCCTCAGATTTCATAAAACTTTTCTTCAAGGTACTCAGTTTTTCTTGCAACTGAACTTGTTCTCCCACCCCCTTTCCTTTTCAATCTATATTGTCTAAAGAATCAGGTACATTGTAATTATTAGAGCTGTGATGGGAAACATGAAAATCTGATGCTCCTTCAGTTCTAAGTACAAACTGTACTGTACTGGTTATGATGGATAAACCTTTCAGTCCTGTGTTAAAAGCTTGAAAGCTAATTAATGGCAAAAAATTACTGTGCCTTCTAATCTTTCCTTTTCTTTTCCTGAAGACCTGATTCAGAGCAGCAGGATAGAGAAGTGCCGTGACAGTTTTATGCTCTGTTGTTTTCCCACGCATACTCAACTTGGTAATTAAATGCACAATGAGTAATTCCTTTGGAAGTGTTTATAAGAAGTCATCTTTGGTCACAAAAGTTTCTGAACTTAAATAAGTTGATGTCTTAATAATTTAAAATTCCATTTTAAATGTAATTTCTACACGTCTGCTTTGAAGGTCCACTCCAGTGTGAACAGGCAGTATCTGATCATTAGGTTCCCCCACTCTTGGAAGTGTTAAATACAGGAGTAAACAGTAAATTTTAAAAGTATATTTTTTATTTTGGTGAGCTTTAGATTTAGTCTGTACTAGGTCACTTATGAATTCACACATCTTATAAAGCCTCCAGTTCAATTAAACAAGGGTTTTATTTCGGCATTATTATTTTATTA